TACGTGTAAGCACAAAACAAGCATTTTTTTTCTTTAATTCCATCTTGACATTCACAAATAGTGTTAGAGATGCAAGTGCTAACATACTATTAAAAAGATTAAATTAAGCATAATATTTCATTTAAAATAAAACATTGCAACTCAATTGTTATAACATATGATGGTAAAAGCTTGTGTATAATGAAATAATATGGTTTGTGAAATATAATCCAAGAGGTAAAATTCATATGTACTAACGTCAAAGGGTGATCTATCATAACCATTAACCATTACTTTGATCTTGCTTAGTTGCTTTATATTTGATCCCAAACTTGGCAAATTATGTAAGAACAAATGTTTAATACTCCAAAAAGTCCTAGAATGACAATAATAGCATCATGCTTTCATATTGACCAATCTCTTATTTACATTATATTCCAGTGGCATCATTAGGCCATTCTACCTTTCAATAGTTCAATTTATTTATATCAACACTTTCCATACTTTCAATATCATGTAATATGTCCCCTTTCAAGTTATAAGTTCCCACATTCTTTATGGAATTAAGGTATGTCAAATACAAGTATGTAACCAATACCATTTTATGGAATTAAGCCTTCCTAGGCTACACCATTATTGAAATGACATAATTAGGTAACTCCCAAGGTTTACTTCCTGGATTCATACAAATTTACATCAAATTTTCTTAATGTCGAGTAACATAATAAATAACAACATACTTCGGGTTTTTTTCCCCATTTCTTGTGTTAAGACATTTTCACCATACCCATAACAACGCTGCATATAGCGTGTTTGAACATTGTCACTCATTATATTTAATCATAAAAATAGTTTTTGACATCATTTTACAATCTTTCCCAAAATGTCACCCTATTTTTTCCACATTTATAACCTACACATCATATCATTAGTTCCAAAAGCATTGTTTTCACAAGTTCGACATGTCAATAAGCAAAACCCTAGGATGTCTCGCTAATAATTCTAATCACAGAATTTGGAGTAGTTTATTATTTAAAAAAAAAGTAATTAACCGAATTGAACGCTTATAGTTTATTTCCTTTTGAAATTGTCTTATTTTTAGAGTCAAAACCTCTACTTAACAAAATATATGAAAAACATTCAACTCCACTCATGACTTGACTTGAGACTATCTTCAACGCCTTGTATTAAGATCTAAAGCCCTGATCAACTTAAGATCAAAAACACTAAAAAAAAAAACCTCCCACGTAAGCATTAGTTTTCAAGTTTCTGCATCATTTTTAGCATCACATTAACAAACTTTAAAAACCATAATCTCATATTTTAACATCGTCCAGTTCTGAGTCGAGTTCCCAAAGTAACTCACCAAGTACACAACAATATTAAGCAGATACAGTTTTTGGCTTGGCCCCAATCTTTCTCCAAGAAACACTCGGCATGATCTGTTTCGTGTCAACTCGGTCTTTAAACTGAACAGCAAAATTGAGGAGCGAGTCAAGAAGTGAGTCAGACAGTAGATGCGGTTCGAGTCCCAACTCAATGAGTTTTGTATGCTTAGCATTGTAGTAATGTTCCTCTGCTTCAACTCTAGGGTTAGGCACAGATATCGTTTGCACTTCAATTCCAAGCTTCTCTCCCGCTTTTGTAACAAGCGATGCAAGTTGATTCACTGAAAACTGCTCTGTGAATTGATTAAATACCCGAAATTCACCGCGTTTTGCTGGATTTGAAATCGCAAGCTCCACACATTGCACTGTATCTCTAATGTCTAGATACCCCCGAGTCTGTTAAAAAAAAATAACAATGTACTTTCACTGATTTGTTTAGACTTTAGACAATACATTCAAGATAATAAGCATATGAAATGACGAACCTGCCCTCCTTTGCCATAAACAGTAAGGGGATGGCCCACTGCTGCTTGAACACAAAATCGATTCAAGGCTGTTCCAAAGATACCATCGTAATCGAATCGGTTGTAGAGTTCTTCATGCATCTCGGTTTCATCTGTTCTAACACCATAAACGACTCCTTGATTCAAATCAGTGGCTCGGATCCCCCAAGCTTTACATGTAAACGCGATATTGTTTGAATCGTGTACTTTACTCAAATGGTAAAAAGAGCTTGCTTGTTTTGGGTAAGGTAAAGTGTCTGTTCTTCCGTTGTGTGTTATGGTGATATACCCTTCTTCGATGTCGATATTTGGTGTTCCATATTCTCCCATTGTCCCGAGTTTCACAAGATGGCAATCTTCAGAGAATTCTTTGATAGCAAATAAGACGTTGAGGGTACCGAGGACGTTGTTTTGTTGGGTGTAGAGAGCTCGTGACCTGTCAATCATGGAGTAAGGTGCGGATCTTTGCTCACCAAAATGGACGACTGCATCAGGTTTGAAAGATGTGAAAGCTTCTGATAAGAATTCGAAGTCGCATACATCACCAATGTAGAGGTTTATGTCTTTTTGAGTGAGGGATCTCCACCTTCTGATACGATCATGGATTGATGAAATGGGTGTGAGTGAATCGAGCCCGAGTTGATCATCAAAATGGCGGCGAACAAGGTTGTCAACAATGGCAACTTCGTAATTTTTGTTGGATAAATGGAGGGAAGTGGCCCACCCACAGTAACCATCACCGCCAATGACCATCACACGGGTTGGCCTTGGTTGTTCGCCGGAGGTTTGGCTGGAGGTGGAGCCTGGTTTTGTTCCGGGTTGTTGGAGAGTGGTTGCACGTACAGAGAAAAGTTTCTTTGTGTTGTTTTTGTTTAATGAAAGGGTTTTGAATGGTTGGATTGAAGTGCGTAGAGTGAGTGAAGTGGGGAATGATGATGAGCTTTGTTTCAATGATTTAGGGGTTGTTTTGGAGCAGGAGATGTTCAGTGGGCAAGAAGCGGAAAGTAGATGTGCCATTTTCACATCCAATTCAGTACCTGTAATATCGATTTTGTTAGATGTTATGTGAAACAATTCTCAATTTGTAGCATTTCTGCTAGGGTATCGATTTTTTTAACCCTAAAATTCAACAAGTGAGAACTAAGAAGCAGAAATTAATATAAAAGAGTAGGTTTATCTTCAATTTATCAGAATTCAGAATCATCGAATTACTCCCTTGATGCTTATATCTTCAATCCATCAGTGAATACTATAAACTAAGATAAGAGATCATTTTCAATTGCCGACTACGAGCAGACTCTTGCTTAACAAAACCAAACAAAAACGAGTATAAATAAGAGGAAGCTTCATATACCTGCCGAGTAATAACTGATGAAAACAGCACAAAATCACTTGCAATTTGCAAATCAGTGGTTCTGGATTCTGAACTTGGTTTTTGCTCTGTTATCTCCTCCTTTCGTCCTGATTAATAACCCAGAAATTGGGTATCAGGCAGCATTGTAATGTGGATATTCCGCTTATACCAATGCTGCATGTTTGTAAATGTACATAAACGATCCTTCAACTTTGCTTTATATGGTTTTGGGTGACGCAATTGTAAAATGGTCTAAATCCTTTTCCTCAAAACATTATTTTTCATGACTTTTCTTTTAGAACCATTGAAGTACACATTTTCAAATACCATAGAGCACCAATTGCCTATGGAAATATATGGTTCATATCAATATTTTAGGGCAAACGAAATCAAAACCCTTATGTTTATAAGCTTTTAACGGTCTTATCCAAAATCGTATTTTAGGTCATCAAATTTAAAACTTTTTTAAAAGATTTTACCTTTTTTACAAATTTATCCGGTAAAAATGAAAAAATTCTACCAAACTTAAGGGTTTTGTTGAACTAGCAAAAATGTTTAAGAGTTTTAATAAACCAAATGGTAAAATTGAAAAAATAAAAAATAGCAAACATCCCTAAAATCTATAAAAGGGTAAAACAGGTGAAACTTAGAAACTTCAGGATTTTTACGCTTATTATCCCAAAATATTTATGTCTAATGGTTCCCTTTTTTTAGGTCTTACAATAAATAAGACGTGATTTCACATACAAAAAAACAAAACACATTAAGTCCACTAAATCATGTCCCCATCAAGTTCATTATTAATCAACTAAAAACACATAAACTACATTTTTACATTCTATCTTCTCTCCTCCTCGGTGCACAAGTGATGATTTCATCAACTCTCAGAATCATTTCAGCAGCTTCTGTTGCAGACAACAACACACCCTGCTTCACCTTAAACGCCTCCGATATCCCCAACTCCGCCATATCTCCAACCTATTTGCAGCCAATCAAAAACCAAAAAAATAAAATAACAATTTTCTATAATAAAACTTAACTTTATAAAAATAAAAACTTACAGAACCCGTAATCACATCAATCCCAGCATTACTCTCCTTTTTATGATGCTCAGCACGAAGCCTAGCAATCAACTCAGCACTATCCAAACCAGCATTATCAGCAATAGTTGTAGGAATCGCAAGAAGTGCACGCGAAAAAGCTTCTATCGCATGAGACTTTTTGCCAGGTGTCTTTCTTGCCAGCTCATCAACCGCCTTGGCCATCACCATTTCCGGCCACCCACCGCCCAAAAGAACCCTGCTATCATTCACAGTCTGAGACAGTACACATTACGCATCATGCAACGATCTTTCCGCTTCATCAAGTACATGAAAACTGCAATTCAAAACATCCAGTCAAAATTCAAAAGTTAAAGGTAGTAAAGTGAAAATTGGTTAATAATTACATTACCTTGCTCCTCTCAAAACAATGGTACAAGCTTGACCCATTTGGACTCCGGAAAAGTGGATTAATTTATCTTCACCGATCATAATTTCTTCAATAAGTTTACAGTGTCCGAGTTTAACAGATTCCGGATTATCAAAAGTGGATGCAATTTCGCCACCTGTCACTAAAGCGAGACGTTCGATTCCTTCAAAATCGGCATGTTCGATTGCGAGAATACCGGAATCGGCAAATAATTCTTCGGGAAAATTGTAGATTAATTGTCTGTTAACAAAACAGTTGATTCCATGGCCGATTATTTTTTTTACTTTTTCTCTCATTTTCTCCTTTTCTGCTCCTTCAATTTGAGCAACTTTTGCCATCGAGTCGACTCGGACACGTGCCCCGTAGATTTTTACTTTATACGTGTCCATTGCTGTATTTGCAACCAAGATTTTTGCATTTTCTATACGTTTTGGTTGACCTAGTCCGATCTTTTTGTCTAGAATAAATCTGCATAAACACATGTTATTAACTAATTAAGAACCTTAGAATAAAAAAATATAATATGATTTTGAGACTTACCCTTCATCTAAAAATGAATCTTTTAGTGACCCTCCGGCTTTCTTGATGATTTGGATGGATTCCAAATTTGTGCTTCCCTAACATATTCAAGAAATGTATTAAGAAATTTATCAACTTTTTGAAGTCACAACAATGAACAATGTAATTAAGTAGTTACTTTTAGCCTCATAACAGCATCAACAGCCAATTTTGCAAAATGTTCTTTGTCCTGTGAGAGAATTTTTGAACTCAAAGTGGTCTTTGCAATCCTCATTAGGTCGGATCTAAATTTCTCTGCATCCTTTTTATTATCCATAACTCTGTCCAGCAATGCGTTACGTGCACAGTCAGCAGCCATCCGGAAACCTGAAAAGGTGACCTGGCATTTTAACAAATATATACACTAAAGCAAAATGTACATTTAGAAAAAAGGGGGTGAAGAAAAACCTGAAATGATTGTCATTGGATGGATTTTTGATGCTACTAACTTTTCAGCCTCCCTCAAAAGTTCACCAGCCAAAACTACCACTGAAGTAGTCCCATCACCCACTTCATCATCTTGAACTTTTGAGATGTCTGATTATTAAACTAAGAATTAATTTTTTTTTTTTAAGAAAATCTCAAGTTGACATGAGAGTTAGTTTAACTACATAAATAACAACAATTTATAAGGATACCAATAAGGACTTTGGCAGCAGGGTTGTCAATATGGAGAGACTTTAAGATAGTGGCACCATCATTAGTCACAGTGACACTGTGTCCTCTACCAGTGGATTGTAATATCTTATCCTGCAAAAAGGTAATAACTTAAACTGATTAATTAGATGGATATAAATATCAAAATCTTGATGCATGAATCACAAGTATTAAGAAACAGGCTTGGATTTAAAAAGGGGACTAACCATTCCTTTAGGTCCTAAAGTTGTTTTTACCAAATCAGCAATTGCCATGGCCCCAACAAAGGATGCCTGAATCATGAAAATAGGTTGTGATAATTATTTGAAAATTGAAATAAAGTCAAATAAAATAAGTCATGGGAGACTTAGAAGGCTCACCATCCGGGCACGTTCACCCTTTTCTTCAGTAGCTTCATCTTTGAAAAGTTTTTCAACCTGAGATATAAATCAAATGTTGACTACCAAAGGGAAATGGTGGGATAAAAACAAGACTTGTTGTAAATTGGTAAAGTTGTAACTCCAACAGTTATCAAGATAACATAGTAACATACAGCCATTAGAAGCAAGCAATCCAATAGCCTTGAAAGTTTTTATGATCTGAAACAAAAGAGATCAAGTTTCTAGTTACACATAATATAAAAGTAGGAACTTAAAATTGCTCCGTACATTGCACATAAAAGAATAAGGGAAAGAACCACTTGGGCAAATGAACTTTCACCATAAATTCAAAACAAACTATACAGTAATGATAGCAAAACAGCCCATGGACTTTTGAACAAATAGCAAATAAGCCTTTTCAAAGATAACTAGGGGTTTCAAGATTCTTGTTTCTAGGGTTTCCAATTTGCAGACATAATTCTTGATAAATTCAGGTTTTCTCTTGAAAAGTGAAAACAAAAAATAAACTATTCTTAACAACAGATAGAACAGTCACTTTGCCGATTGTCACTAGGAAAGAGCTAATGTTGACATGTGTATTCGTAAAATCTAACTTCTGTGAGGTCTACAGGCCTTTTTGTCATGTTCAAGTTCATGTTATTATGTATACATGGTCATGAGGACAATCCGAGAAGCCTGACAACCTGATCAGAAATGTACATCAACAACAGATGATATATGATTAACAACGCAGTTCCTACAGCAAAAAAAAATGTGACAGGACTTAACAATTTCAACTGCACGAGCTTCTTTTTACTCGTAATTCGTAATGTCACAGAAAATGATAAATATATCAAAGATTTACAGCAGAACTGCATTTTATTTCAGTCAATTTCTAGTCACCGCAAAGATCAACACGAAATTCGGATCTTAAAAGATGCATTTCCTTATGCTAACAAGAATGTGCCTATAGAACAAAATAATCAAGAAAGTTCTGAGGAAGAAACATACTTTTTTCCCTCGATCTAGCGTCTTCTTCGAAGTCTCTCGTAAGATCACAGAAAACGTCCGAGTTCTTCAGTGTTCAGTAGCAAGTGTTGTTTCGTGGGAATAAATTTAAATCGGTTTTAAATTAGGGCTGTTTTCTATTGGGCCCATATCATTTTGGATTCTCAGCGTAATCCAATACTGTTGGTGGTAGGATTCGGTCATTCGGATGAAAATACGGATCAAATTTGATAATTTTCAGAATGGGTCAGTAAGTCAGTTGGAAAACATTTTTATCATCAATAGGTTAGGGTTCCATGATATATGTTTTATCTTTTTTTAAATTTTACTGATAATTGTAGCAATAAATACTGTTAGTTTAATGTATGTTTTGTGTAATTATTTATGAATTATATTTCAGCTCTTGTATAGCCGGTCCATTCGTTGTATGTATTATTACTACATATTTCGATTTGTCCTTTACAGTAAATTTGGCGTGAATAAACTATTTTATTTTTTTGATCTTATTGTAATTTAGTGTTTGGTGATACCATAAAAATAATTTGTAAGGTAGCTTTTTAATAGGCTAATTAAGATAAATTATTGATAAGTTAGGTTTAACCTTAATGAGAAAGGAATCTTCCCATAAAATTATCATGTCTTTCATGGTAAGAGTGATATCAATATATCATCTCCTAAACCATCTATCTTCTATCCCTCTCTCTTAGGGTGGGAATCATTTTGATTTATGGTTTTTTAAGTTTCCTTAGTTCGAAATTTTTTAGGTTCAATCAAATTCATGGCAACTCAAACCGAATAATAATTCGGTTTGGTTTTTTCAAATCGAGAAAACTAAATTTTAAAGTAAAAAATAAATCCAAAGTCTCAAATATAAATATCTAAAATTTCAACCATCAAATATAAAGTTCCAAAAGAAAAATAAAATATGAAGTTTCAAATCAAATATAAAATACAAAGTTCCAACTTACAATACCAAATCTCAAATTTCAAACTTGTTCCAAGTGGCTGCTTCATGTGTAACTGTTTTTTTTTTTTTTTTTTTTTTGTAACCGACCAATAGATTAATATTATAAAGAAAAGACAGGAAAATAACAGTACAAGCCACAAAGAATTAGTGGCGAAACACAGAAACAGGAACAACACGAAAATAAAACAACATCAAACTATGGAAAATACATGTTAAGAAAATGGGCATTGAGACCAATTTGCTCATATTAACTCCTTTTTTTTACCCCTGTTTTCCACCCAAAGAAAGCTCATAGATTTGACGATATCTATGACTTTATCAGGAGGCATCCGGTTATTGTTAAACACTTTGTCGTTCCTTGCTTTCCAAATGGACCATAGCATACAATAACAAATGGCCATAAATGTCCTTCTTCTTTTGGAACATGATCCCCATTCGGCAGCAAAATCTAAAATTTCGTTTACCTTATGAAAATTTCCACCTTGCGCCTTGCACCAACTTAGTACCCCTTCTGTGATCTTCGCTGCATACGAGCATGCCACAAGAAAGTGGTCTAGACATTCTTCAAGCTCCTCACACATCTGTAAATGAAATAGAAGGGTGTGAGTGGAACAAATTAAGGTGTAGATTTGTGATGTAAAATGAATGGTTTAGAAAAGATCGTAGAATAATTTATAACATAATTTATCTATAGAGAAAGTGAGAAACATACTTTGACTTCAAAACCGTAAGCTAGTATAGACTTTACATTTTACAATTTGGACTTCATAGATGGTGGGTGATGGGCGTAAGGTTACAGTAGTGACCACCTTTGTAGTCAGCAATCGTAGTGAGTAGTGACGGTCGAAGGAGGGGATCAAAGGTGAAGGTGTGATAGTCAATCGACAATACGCTAAATTCAGTTCTACTAGAATAAAGCGGAAAACAAGAGATTAAAAGATTAAACGTGTTGGATAACGATGCCAATCATAATAAAGTCGGCTGCCAAATGAAGGAGATTGTAATGCTTCATTTTCACAACCAAAAATTTTCATTTTTATTGAGGTAAAACTTCATTGTTATAAATATATTTTAAGAAAACCATTTATTCCAAATTACATTTGTCGAAAATCAAAGTCATATAACAAACGTGGAATCTTCAATGTTGTTAATGAGTGTGTATGTAACTACCCGAACATCATGCCATAAAAAATTTTGTTTTAGATTTATTCGTTAATACATATCTTCCCAATAACCAGGGTAACAAAACATTTAACATAACATCATCAAATCAGAGTATTTTGCAGAATACGAAAACAAGTGGTGTGTGCTTTGCAATCATCCATAGCTCTCCCACTTGAAAACCGAAGTACCTGAAACATAAACTGAAAACCATAAGCACAAAGCTTAGTGAGTTCCCTAAATACCATATAACATACAAACACAGATTATCATGCAACATACATATAGTTACCATGGGCTTCGCCCATGGTCTTTATCTAGTATGTCATGGGTTCCCCCATGGTCTTTACCTAAAATGTCATGAGTTGTCCCCCATGGTCTGATATACAAATGCCACGGGCTCCCCCCCCCCCCCCCCTCTCCGGGGTCTTCCATGAAAGTATCACAGAGACAACTAGCATACCACATAACACGTAATAGGTTGGCATTGGTGCCTTCAACCCATGGATATAGTGAGAAGACTCACCTCGGATGTAGAAGCTTACTGAAAGAAATCCCTAGTTGTTGCCCTGACGACACCTTCGAGCTATCAAATCAAAATAACACCTAGTTAGCAATTAGGTTCCATTCTTAGGCCCACCATCCATACTTAGGGTAAAATGACCATTTTACCCCTAACCTAACATGCATCAAAACTGAGGCCCAAATCCAAAAGATCCATAAAGGCCCACTAATGGCCTAATTTTCCAAATTGGGCCCAACCCCATATGAGCCTTAGCTTAAGCCCATAATTCCCTTAGTTACAACTTTGATTACCTAAAGTACCCCCTTAGAGAAACTTGGTCAAAGACAGGGTCAAAAGTCAAGGTCAACTCCCCGAGTTGATCTAATATGTCGAGTTGTCCTTCAACTCATCGTGTTTCTCCATTATCTGCAAAGTTGGGGAAAAACCGAGCCAACTTGCCGATTTTATCCATAAACACGTCGAGTTTGCCAAAAATACAACCTTTTAATACATTAATCTGACATTATCAACTCTAAGAGCTTCACAACTCAGATCTCGACCAAAATAAGATCTAGAAGGGTAAAGTTTCAAGCTTTACCCCTAAGAACCACCGAAATGGGTCTAATCCCAAACCATAGACTTAAAAGAGTGAGGGCTTTATAATACTATTTTAAATAGATTTAATGGTATTTGTACTAAACTAATGCCAAAAGTACTCAACACTAGTCTTATAACGACCGCATCGTCGATACCTATTTTCTTGTTGCTGCTAAATCAACAATGATTTGGAGCACTTGTAAAGCAAATTCGATTGGAAGATCTACTTCCCAAACTTCCATGGACACTGACAATGGTAACATTAAAAGTCCAGAAAAGCTTTTTCTTCCCAATGGAAAAGGATCGACCACGGTGAAGTCATCTGACCCAATGGTAAAGAGAAAGGCTAAGTCTGAGATACTCTTGTGTACCATTCCTACAGAGTCGATATGTTTCTATTGCCAAACGGAAGGGGCATTGCTTGTGAAACTGCCCTATTTACCTGAAAGTTCACTAGGATGGTAAAAGTCAATAAATTTGGCTATGCTTCAGGTAAAGTCCACTATCTAACTCTACTAAGTTCCTATTTGGAGATTCTTAATACATGATGTAATGTAATTACATTTTAATGTTTTAAAGAATCAAGGAAAAGAAAGGAAGCTTAACGGAAGAGTAAGCTAATTTTGATCGTGAAGAGATGGATTTCAATCGCATGATCTGAATATCAGAATTTTGAGCTGCTACTTAATAGTTATGATAGATTGCTTAGGAATAGATAACAACATAGTTTTCATATGTATTTGCATTGTAAGGATAAGTTTTTACGCAATTTTAAAATAAAAGGAAGATTTTTTATTTTATTTATTTTAAGTCTCCTTACAATGGTATTTGTGAAAAATTGTTGTTTATATGATTCCATTGATAGCAATATTGGAAAATGGATTTGATTTTTCCATTTGTGGTAGTGTCATAATTTACCAAATAAGGAAAGATTCTCATCACCCAAGTTTCAATTGGATAGAAACTTGGAATCATGCAACCTGTGTTGTATGATGAATGAGAATTTTCATCTTTGGGAAATTAAGATTAATTCCTTGTTCACATGTATATGTGAGTCAAGTGAAGGACTAGGGGATCGGGTACACCTGGTTGTGCGCTAATCAGGTCCACCACAAAGAAAGATAAAGTTATTTGTCATGATTTACTAAAGTTTAGTAAATATGGTTGTGCTTACAAGTATAAGTATAAGTATAATTCTGAAACATTGGAAAATTTCAATCTATGGCAAGACGAATGAGAAGTGTCAAATTAGGCGGAAAGATAAAAGTTTCTCCAATCTGAAGAGATAGGAGAGTACTTTAGCATCGTGTTTTATGATTATATTAATGATTATGGAAAACCATATCACAATTGATCCTCAAAGGATATCTTAGTGCATTTGTATGGCTAAAAAGAGGAATCGTGAATTGTTGAAATGGTTAAATCAAGAAGACGAGTCATAGTTCCACAAACAAGTCTTAGAGTCATACTCCAAGATTGTAACTTGAGTGACATAATATTTAGAAGGTTATTAAAAATTGTCAGGTGTAGAGTAAAATGTTTTCTTACTCTTGTATATTTGAAATTGGTAAGTTGTGATGTTCTGGGTAAAACAAAGATCAATTAAGGCCAATTGTGTGAAGTGTTTGTCTTTATAAGGATCTACACTAACTCTTGAATATTTTTGCTTTGTCAAGGAATGGTTCTTGACAAGAGAATCTTATATGTCAAGAGTTCAGTGGGAGTCTTAAAGATCTTGAAAAGTTTCAAGAACTAATCAAGAATAAAAGTTGTTGTTTATTACTGGCACACGACTGAGGTTTGTTACCTATCGTGTTGACATATTCTTGTTTCTGTACCCATTCCAGTT